TTGCTCAAATCAACGAAGATCACCCTACAGATCTTAAAGCCAAGAGATTTGGCCGCAGCTTATTCCTTCAATAGTAGGCTGGGTTTTTTTTTAAAATGAAAAATTTGTTGGTTATATTGGGCAGGCTAGTGGTTGTACACGCCTTCAATGTTCCCATTGTAACTCCGCCCCTGTTAGGAAGAAATCATTGATCTTCTTTGATGAATTCGCTGGTTTCACAAATAGTCTTGAGCTTGGGCGAAAATGTCTAATCTTGTCTAAATAGATACAAACTTTTCCAAATACTCCAATAAACTATGGCAAATGACGAGACTGCCAAAAGTTCTACTAATTCCCCATAATTGTTGTGATTTCATCATGGCTCATGGGTTAGATGAACTCACCATCGGCTCAACAAGTTTACTAAAACCCCAACTATGAAATATTTGGAAATATGAAAACTGTTATTTTGACCCCCAATTAATGAACTAAAGTAAAATGACACTTTTGTAATGTGGTACCGCTCACCTACAACATCTCACCTACCGCTCACCTACCGCCCACCTACCTCTCACCTATCACTCTCTTGCTTCTATAAATAGAGAGGGTGTGAGGCTTAGGAGAGCAAGGGAAGAAATCTTAAGGGTGTGAGGCTTATAAGAGGAAAGGGAGAAGAGATCTTAAGCTACCACAAAGGAGGAGAGAATAGCTATAGAGTTAGAGGAGGAGAGCATCTTGAGGCCTTGTATCAAGGTGTCGCTTGAGAGGGAGGCCATAGAAGGAAGATGAGGGCTCATCTCTATGTATAAGCTATATATTCTCAATTTCTTTTGCCTTAGTGAACTATTTGATTGATTCCCTCCCGTGGACGTAGATCCAGTTGGATTGAACCACGTAAACGATCTGTGTTTGCTTGTGTTCTTTTTCGTCTCATTTCTATGCCAGGAAGTACATATCTCACAACAATTGGCGCCGTCTGTGGGAAGATCCATACTTCTTGGCTAGAGGTGTCCGCGTAAAAGTGTTCGCGGCCAGT